CTCAGACTACGAGCAGATCACCTACCCCGTCACCCTCGTATGCGCTGGAAACCGCCGGAAAGAACAGAACATGGTGAGAAAGTCAAAAGGCTTCTCATGGGGCGCCGCCGGTCTGTCAACAGCCATCTGGACCGGTGTCTCGATAGGCGACCTGCTCGCCAAGGCGATGCCCAAGAGGGGCGCCAAATACGTCTGTTTCGAGGGCGCCGACAAATTACCCAACGGATACTATGGAACGAGCATCAAGCTCAACTGGTGCATGGATCCTAACCGCGGCGTGACCGTCTGTTACCGCATGAACGGCGAGTTGCTGCACCCCGACCACGGGAAGCCAGTACGCATCATCATTCCTGGGCAGATCGGCGGCAGAAGCGTAAAGTGGCTCAAGAAGATCATTGTAACCAAGGAGCCGAGCGACAACTGGTACCACATTTACGACAACCGCGTGCTCCCAACTATGGTCTCGCCAGACGCCAGCGCTGACCTCCCCGAAGTGTGGAAAGATGAACGTTACGCCATCTACGACCTCAACACGAACAGCGCCACCTGCTACCCTGCGCACGACGAGGTTCTGTCATTGAACAACGGACCAGAGTCCTACAAAGTTCGCGGATATGCGTACGGCGGCGGCGGTCGACGCATCACCAGAGTAGAAATAACCCTAGACCGTGGCAAGACATGGCTCCTCGCCAACATTAACTATCCCGAAGACACATACCGACTCGCTCCCGAGGGCGAGACCCTCTACGGCGGCCGCGTGGACATGGATTGGAGAGAGAGCTGCTTCTGCTGGTGCTTCTGGGACCTGGACATTCCCGTAGTCCAGCTCGCAGATGCGGCGGACGTTATGGTCCGCGCCATGGACGAGGGCATGATGGTCCAACCGAGAGACATGTACTGGAGTGTCCTGGGCATGATGAATAACCCGTGGTTCAGGATCGTCATCCATAAAGAGGGCCATAGCCTACGTTTCGAGCACCCAACGCAACCGGCCCTCATGCCGGGCGGATGGATGGACCGCGTCAAGAAGGCTGGAGGAAACCTGGCCAACGGATTCTGGGGCGAGAAGGTTGAGGGCGAAGCTGAGAATTCCGCCGAGCTGGAGCCCATCAAGGAAATCTGCATGACCAAGGATACTGTCAAGCGGTCCATCTCCATTGAGGAGCTACGCCAGCATGAGGGCGAAGAGGAGCCTTGGTTCGTCGTCAATAACGAGGTGTACGACGGCACTCCTTTCTTGGAAGGCCATCCGGGAGGCGCGGCATCCATCTTTGGAGCAGCCGCACAGGACGTATCAGAAGAGTTCCTGACCATTCGTGAGTTCGCAGTCATCCCCCTTCTCCAGTGTTACTCGTTCTTAACATAGTCCCCCCTCTAGACAGCGAAAACGCCAAGGCCATGATGCCCCAGTACCACATCGGCACCCTCGACTCAGCAGCCCAAAAGATCCTAAGCGCAGGCGAGGTCGTAGTAGAAGACTCCGAAGCCTCCCCCCGCGCCGTCTTCCTCCAGTCAAAGACCTGGACAAAGGGCATCCTCTCGAAAAAGACAAAAATCTCCTCCGACACCAAGATCTTCACCTTCACCCTCGAACACGCCGACCAAATCGCCGGCCTACCCGTCGGCCAGCACCTCATGATGCGCCTCCGCGACCCCGTCACCCGCGAGGCCATCATCCGCGCCTACACCCCGATATCAGAGGGCACCGAACGGGGTCAACTCCACGTCCTCGTCAAGATCTACTACGACACCCCCGGCGGCCAGCCGGGCGGCAAGATGACGCAGGCCCTCGACGCCATCCCCGTCGGCCACTTTGTCGACTTCAAGGGCCCCATTGGCAAATTTGAATACCTCGGCAAGGGGCTATGCTCCATCTCGGGGAAACAACGCACAGTCAAGCGCTTCGTCATGATCTGCGCGGGCTCCGGCATAACGCCAATCTTCCAGGTCCTCCGCGCCGTTCTCAAGGACGAAGCGGACCCGACGACGTGCCTGGTCCTCGACGGCAACCGCGTCGAGGAGGATATCCTCTGCCGCGCAGAGCTCGACGAAATGGCCGCCGCCGCCGGCCCAGACAAGTGTCGGCTGGTGTACTCGCTCACCAAACCTGGGCCGGAGTGGACGGGACTGAAGGGTCGCATGGATGGCGCCTTTTTCGAAAGGGAAGTCGGCAGGTGCGGCAGTGGTGGCGGCGGCGACGAGCTCGTCCTCGTCTGCGGGCCGGAGCCGTTGGAGAAGGGGGTGCGCGCCAGCCTTGCCAGCCTCGGATGGAAGGAAGACGACCTGTTGTTCTTCTAGATCACATCTGGGGAGTCCAGATTCCTAAAGGGGACGTCAAAAACGCCTGTCCCGTGAGCCGGGCCGACGGAGCTCGGAAGTTCGGCACAGGTCCCCTGGTCAGCAGACAGAGCCGCCACCGCGCCGGGCCGTACTTGGATGGGGTGGTGTGGGTGGAGTTTGTATCAACGACAAGCATCTATACTAAGAAAGAAAAAGAGGTGCAACAGAATCAAGCATCTCCGGGGAGGAAAACGGTAATTCTGCTCTAAACTTCCTCTAGCTTGGGACGGAACGAAGTTGGAAGACTACGTTTTCGCGGAGACGGCGGGGGACTCTTTGTTTTTACCAGCGTATTTTAGGCATCTCCGCGGAGAGAAGGGGAGACGACATGCATCCGCCCCCAGGTCTCGCTTGCACTTACACACGCGACATGGGTGGATGTGCGGATAGTTAGCAGATATATACCACTCCTAGCGTTACAAATACTGAATGATCATAATGTTTTCTGCAATTTGAATATTCTCTGTTGATTATATACCCGTTTGCTCTCCGTGAATATTAACTCCCGTAAAGCAACACATGTACATTTCTTTCGTGACTTTCGTTATTTCGCTTTCCTATTCCATTCGTACTTTAACACATGCCTCAATGGCCCCCTTCTGCACTCCCACCCTCGGCAGTACCACCGTGGCCGGGCGGGTTTGGGTAGTAAAATGCAGCGACGGCAATAGCGACGTAAATCGTCACGCTCAAGAATCCCTCGAGGTAATTGCTCTTCTGATCCCTCAAAAAATTTCCAACAGTCAAGATGGCTAGGATGAGCATGCCGATATCAAACACCTCAAAGACGAGGTCCATGTGCTTGTGCAGGCCCCACGCGACGATAACGACGAGCGGCGCGTTGAAGAGAGCCGTCTGCAACGTGGCGCCGAGGACGTGTGACAGAGCAAAGTTCATCTGGTTGTCCCACGCCTCGTCGACGGCCGTGAGGTGCTCAGCGGCCTTCTCGACGAGGGGCACGAGGATGAGACCCATAAAGGGGTCCGAGATGTTGTGTCGCTCGACGATGGGGGCGATCTGCTCGACGAGGTAGATGGCCATGAAGGTGACGAGGGTGATTGCGATGACGAGGGCGACGAGGCACTCGGTCAGCGTCAGCTTGGGCTTGTTGAGGTCCTTGCGCTTGTCGTGGTCTCGCTGCTCGTCGTGCTCAAAGATGGCGTCGTAGATTCCGTGGTGGGTCCGGGCCTGGAAGTAGACGTAGACGGCGTAGGCGATGATGAGGAGGCAGGACACGATGCGCGAGATGTGGCGGGTCTTGCTCCCGAGTTCTTCACCGGTGAGCTGGTTTTCGAGCGAGTTGGCGAACAGGGTCGGGATGGCGAGGGCGACACCTCTGGTCACAGTTGTTAGCATCGTGTGGTGTTGCCAGTCGGAGGTAGTACTTACGCTGTGAGCAGCAAGCCGCTGCCGGCTTCACTGACGACTTCACTGAACTCGGCCTCGTCTCGTCGCATGCCACCCGCAATGAAGCACAGTCCCAGGCATAGAAGCATAGTTGCCAAGATGGAACCGAGAATGGCAGCCTTGATGACGGTAAACTGGTCTCCGGCGAGCAGTACCATGAAGAGAATGATTTCGACAATGGAACCAAAGCTACCAACTATTATTAGCATTGCAAGGTGTGGAAGAACGGGGCTTTTCTCACGTTGTCTCAATCAGCACGCCAAAGACGTGGCTCACTTTGCGAGAGAGCTCCTGGCCGGCGAATCCAACCATGTTGGCACAGGGGATCATGGCGATGTAAGTGAGGATGAAGATGAGGACATGGTCGTTCGGTCGAGTATATCGAACGGCAAAAGCGGCGGGCACAAAAGGCCAGAGAAAGTTGCAGAGGAGGGAGGCTCGACTTGACGATTTCCAGGAGATCTTGAGGAACTTGAAAGGGTGAAAGCCCCGGCGGCCACTCTCGCCGGACGGCTTGACCCTAACTTTGCTACCTGGTGGAGGTTTCCGGTGTAGGTGCCCATTGTGGCTCGGCAGCTCCTCGCCGCGGGAGGAGTAGTTTGAAGTGCGTGCCTTCTCGGGAGGGATGATGGGGTGGTTTGATTCTCGTCGACGCGATCGTCCATCGTTTGACGATCTATAGCTCTGGCGGTAGGGTGACCTCGGAGCCGACATGACGGCGAGCTGAGGCGTCTATGTTTGTCTAGACGTTATTGGATTTCCAAGGTGCTTCACTTGGAAGAAGTTGCAATGCTACAAGGGCGAAAAGGACGTCTTATATGAAGTCGAAGAGTGCGGGTACACCAAGGTTGTATCACTGGGATAAGGGACGGTGAAGAAGTGTGGAACAAACCCCAATACCAAGACTTTTGACAGTGTGGCTGGACGAACAGCAGAAGTGGGAGGGAGGGATATAATAAACGGATTCTGAAGAGATGGAGAGAAGTGAGGACCCTCGTTCCCCAGTCTTGATCAACGTGGTCCAGTCGGTCGGTGGTGGATTGGTGGCCGCGGGTAGCGGTAGCGGCAGCAGGGGTTTGTGTTCAAGGTTGTCCGGGGGGGCTGGGCTGGACCGGGCCTGGGGGTTTCGGGGCGAGTACGTTTCAACTTGAGCTTTCTCTCACTGCTGACCAGTCAGTGAGAAGGGGGAACCTGAGTATGAACCCAGGCAGATGTTGTCTTGTTATTGTTTGTTGCGTAAGTGAGGGAGGCCGTCAATCCGAAAGAGAGCAAGAGAGTTCGTGACATGTTCGGCTTCGTTGCATATGTAGCAAGGGGAGCCGATGAACAGGCAGGTACACATCTACACATCTAGACTGAATCCTAGCGAGAAACCTTGCACGGGGAGAGGGAGACAGAAAGAGTTCGAGGCGTACTGAGAGTCGGTGAATCAAGGCACGGCCAGGCTTGCTGTCATGCCAAGAGCTCTGACAGAACCCCTGTGCATTGCTGGGCGAGTGGGAACTTGGGAAGAGAAGCAGCGGGCGGGCGTGTGTGCGTGTACGGAGTACCTGATGGGTAGTTGGGTACACCTGGCCAGCTGGCTCGTTCGACGGGCGCCGCCTGAAATGCCGTGAAACCAAAAGTACAAGATACTTTTTCCGTCCGTGTGTGAGGATGCGACGCGTGCGAGAGGTGGTAATGGAATTTGATGCTAGGTACGGATACGATACCCAGGAAGACAGACAGACGCCCTGCTCTCTGGGAAGCTGTTCCATTCATGTGTCGAGGCTTCATGTTTTGGTTTTGTTGTTTTGCTTCGCGTTGTCCAGCTGCAGCCTACGGAGTAGGTACCTACACCACGAAAAAGAAGCGAATAACCACTCACAGACTGGCGGCAATGCAGGCAGGCCGCAAGTCTGGCAAGGGGGGAAAAGACCGTGGAAGAAATTGGTCGCCAAGACAAAACGTCGTGCAGATAAGCAGCAGCCCAACGACGCCAGCGACGCCAGCGACGCCGAACGACGTCACAAAGCCATCGCAGACCCCTGAAGACCATCAAAGTCCCGGAGGCATTTCCCCAATAGAAATGCAACGCCAGCAAGACTTTATCCACTGATCCACGACCGACTCGACCGAGTACCTACCTTATGGTGTATGTACTCCGTACCTTACTGCGCTGCTGCACACTACGTCTTCCTTCCTCTCCATCCACCAGTAACGAAATTGTGCCAAGACTTTCATTCCAAGATTCTCAGAGTTCCACGCGCATCCAGCCACTCCTCTCATCATATCCTTCAGATGTTGTCCGTCATCAATGACCACGCTGACATGGGACACTTGATCCTCATCTCCGTTCCTCTCACTCTACTCCACAGAGTAGTAGAGTCTACGGATTGTGTCAAGCTCGCCTAATTCCTGGTACAATGCCGAGGCTTTTTCTCGAAATCTCAACATCTGGGCAAAGTTATGCAGCAGACGGGCGTCCCATGCGTCTAACTGCAACCCGCCCTAAAGTAACAAGGGACCACCGTCCATACAATTGACTTTTTTTCGGACGGAGTAACAATTCCAGAGGAAAGGCACCTGAACCTTCTGAGGGAGGCAGCCAAGCACAGACTTTTGACGGAACGCGCGCACAACACCAAAGGGGGGCTGAGGGAGACGGGGTAACGGGCTACGAGGAACCTAACGGGGAGGCTCAACTCCAAGGGACCTGGGCCTATAACACCCATCGTTCCGAGAACCTACGATCTGAGCCTACCACAGTAAGCAAAAACCAAGAGTCGAACCAGGTCAAACCAAGATGAAGCCAATATGAGCCAAGACCTAGCCAAGAGCAAAGGCTCACGCTAGGATCTCCCCAAGACGAACAACTGGGTCCTCTCATCGACAAAGCCAAGCAACAATGCCACGAGCGTCCACACAGCCTGAGACACCGTCGCACATCGCATCTCCACCTCCACTTCTCTCCCACGCTTACTGCGTACATAGATTCCCACACCCCAACGAGCCATGAGCGAACCGTTCCATCCCAGCTTGCCCCTTGGCAAAAGCTTCTTTGACCCGCCTGCATTCACCTCTTTGCTTCCAATGCATATCCTTGTGCACATCCTCTTTCGGTCGACCGTAGAAGGGCCTTTAGTTGTATTTTCTTCTAAAAACGAAATCCCAAAACGCCCAAAACACCCAAAACATCATCCACTTCCTCCCAGCCAGCCTCACCAACATTAAACTTCTGGCTTCCCGCACCTCCCGTGCCGTTCAATCCGTTCTTGCCCCTTCCACCTTTACACCTGAGCTTGGAGTTGAGATCGAGCACAGGGGTCTACTTCCCAACGCCATTCTAGCTTCGTGCCCTCGAGCTCGTTCTCACTCATGTACATTGTGGCGGCCTCCGCTTGGGCTCGGAAGCTTCCGAACCGCCATTCAAGCACTGTGACTCCGGCTTGTGGTACTCGGCGTTCTAGAACATCCTCAGTCTGATAACTGAATTTCTTGGAGAACCAGCAATCCAGCACATCGCGCCTGACCAGCTCAGATGGGCCTCGAATTAGGATGACTCGGGACCTGCCGGTGTTGGGCTGTGCGGCCGACTTGATCCGGTTCCAGACAACTCTGGGACGGTGTCCTCCGACAATGAGCCTTCTCTGCTTGATGGCCCTGAAGCAATTCTCGGCGCCAGCGCGGTCGAAAAACACCAACTTAGCTGCGGTAAGAAGCCGGCCTTCAATCGGCTTTGGAGCGTTAATGACCGTGGCGTATACTTTGCCCACTGGAGCACAGCCAGCAACAGCTTTAAGCAGCAGAGTATGATCGCAATTGGCTGGAAGCCCAGTGATGAACAGCGCAGTATTCTCGTAGTCTTTGACTGGTGCGCTTTGGTTGCGAAGGTTCAACGGGTCGCCGGCGTAATTCGACGGCAGGTTGTAGAATTCTCTTGCAAATCGTGAGATTACTTGTTCATGAGGTGCATGCGTGACTTGGCCTCGTTGTTCAGCAACCATACGCATGGCTTCGAAGCCTTTGGCATGGCTTGTACTGGCTATTGCGCTAGTGTTGGTAGGTTCTGGGTTGATACAGACTAGCTGGTCAATGCCGGCAGCAGGGGAAGGAACAGCTTTGTGAGTGCTATGGTGAGAGCTTGTGACTCCGCTTCGACTTCCTCTTAACATACTCCCGCCACGACCGAGACCGCCTCTACTGCTGCTGCCGCTGCTGCCCCCACTGCTGCCACGCACAGCAGCTGTGGCAGCGGCAGGAGCGGCAGGGGCACTTCGAGCGTGGTTATCCCCTAGGTCGAGCTGTGCCAAGTATGATGCCAGGACTTTGTCGTGAGGAGCAAGTCTTTGACCACAGTTCTGAGCCATCTCTATACAAAAGTTAGTGACAAGGTCAAGTTGGTTTAGCGCAAATGTAATGACATACTGCTGGTGATTTGAGTGCGACTGTGAACAGATGAGTGTGTTGTTGTGAGATGAGGTCGCTGGATGCCGGAAGAAAGCTCGATCCGTATTATTGGACCGTTATAGAAGAGGAAGGTGCCTCTATTCTGCTGAAGTCGTTCTTTCCCAGGCTGAAAAGCCTCGGATAGAAATCGTATTGGATAGACGAATCGGTGGAAAGAAATGAAAGGAAGGGGTTTTCCGTCTTTAATCTGGGTAAGACTGAAAGATTGATTCGATCGACGACGCTGGTAGGGTATAAGGTAGGTAGGTGCACACAAGGAATTTTTAATTGAGGGGAATCTTGAAAGCTTGGGTGGTAGCTATGGGTTGAAGAGGGGAAGAGAAGAAGAAGAGGGAGGAGAGGATGAGAAGGGGGGTTTTATAACGACAAGAAAGGAGGGATCGAAAAAGGGCGGTTCGTGGGCGGTTGTAGGCGGTCAAGAGGCAGTTCGCAGGCAGTCAAGGGAAGGAGAGAAGGAACGAAGGCACCACCCGTGGGAAGGAGCGATGGGGTGAGGTGGGTGAGTGTGTATTCACGATGGCAACTTGAGTATACCTTTACGAAAGGGGCCCTCTCTCACCTCATCCTGCCTGCCTACGTGCCCTCCATTCACCTCATGATCAGCTTAATATTCCTGAGTAACATGAAGGGGCTTAATGGTTGAGGCGTAGAGGATCATGATTCCTTGACTAGATCATGAAGTTTCGTTTACATCAAGGCTATGATCAGTAACATCCTCTATCGGTCCGTTCACTTTTCACCTCCTTTACTTTTTGATTAAAATGTCTAGTGAGGTAGATACTTGGGATTTGGTTTAGATGATGGCATCTATCAAGAGACCTAGTTGGCCCATGCCATAGGAGTAATCCTGATACGAAGGTTGAGATCCCAACACACTTTGCGGTGATGTTCCAGATGGCACTCGACTGGCCGAGAGCAGAATTTTTCACACAAAGATGAAGAGGTCTGGACATGTGCTCGCTCGCTCCTGCCTATTCAAGGTACCTACCTGGCTTCAGGAGGTCGCTGCCAAGTTGACTCTCGAATCACAACAGCGTGGCTTCTTTCATGTCGGCGATCCGTTGAGAAGTGGCGCGGTCAAGGTGAAGTTTCTAATGACATGAGCAAGTATTCGGTTGTAGGAATAGATATACTCATTCTGCCTCAGTGGCCATCACTCACCATCAATCACTCTTCTATCAACCGGGAAGGGGGAATGTCATGTATGATGTTCCCTCGAAAAGTGGAAGAATATTGCGTTTCAATCAAAAGGATGAGATACCACATAATCTGAGCTACCCCCTCTCTGTAATCTGCACTATTCACCTACCCAAGTACCTCGAGGAGAGGTGAAAAAGGGGTAAATGCAGCTAGAAGAAAGCAACGTTACAAATGAGAATCGAGGAACGAGGAGCGTCGTCCGCTTCCTGACTTGCAGTAATGGGCAAACTATCCCTGAGCCGTCATCTTCAACCATTCGGTGTCTGACCTCCTGCACTTATCGGAATGGGGAAGTCTCTTTGAGCGGGCAAGCATAGATAGACCGGCATGACAGTGTAATACAGTTGGTAATAGCTACAGCTCTATTCGGGTCCTTCAGTGACAACGCATACACTCAGGATGACTGACATTGAGATCACACCTACACGCCATCATGACTCTTCGCCATCGTGTACTTCCTCATCCTCCTCCCGCCCAGTCCACACCTCAGCCTCCTCCAACAAGACCGTATCCCTCTCATCAAACTCCTCCTCCTTAATCTCAACCACCCTCAATCTCCCCCCATCCTTGGCCGGCACAGTCTGCGCCACGACAACAGTCTCGATCCCCGCAGGACAATACTCCTCGGGCCCCATCGGCAGCGCATCGACATCAATCTCCCTATTCAGCAACGTCTTCAAAATCACCTGACTCCCCGCTTTACTCATCACCTCGTTCGCCTGCTTACACTGGTCCGACGCGACGCACTCCCGGCACCCGTGCTCGCAGTAGCAGTCCTCGACCCTCTTGACAGCCTGCTGCAGCAGGTGGTCGACATGCTCAAACGCCTTTGTGCTGATGCCCGACCCGCTAGCACCGCCTTTGGCATCGTAAAACGTCAGCCGGCCCGGCCTCTTCCTCTGGGAATCCTTCTTGGCAAACTCTTTCAGGGCAATTTTGCACTCGGTGCGGACGTCGCCCGGTAGACTGATGACAAAGTTGGGCATCAGGCTAAGGATGGCGTGCTCGGCCGCGTGTATCGACGCGGCGATGTTCAGGCGACGGTCGACGAGGATCTGCAGCGCCTTTTTGGGTATGTCGAGCCACATGCCCTTGCCGTATCGGATGA